GGGGTGTGCAAGAGGCAGCCGATCGATGACTCTCTCTCATCGATGTTTCTAACTCTCTTTCTCTCTCCCTTCCTCTCTGTACAAAATCAATAAAGTATATTAAAAAAATTATTTTAAAAAATGTGTATTTTATTGATTTTTTACAGAGAGGAAGGGAGAGGGACAGAGAGCTAGAAACATCGATGAGAGAGAATCATCGATCAGCTGCCTCTCGCACAACCCCCACTGGGGATGTGCCTGCAACCAAGGTCCATGACCGGAATCGAGCTTGGGATCCTTCAGTCCACAGACCGACGCTTTATCCACTGAACCAAACCGTTTTCGGCCATGTAATTCTTTTTTATAATAAAAAAAATTATATATATATTTTATTGATTTTTTACAGAGAGGAAGGGAGAGTGATAGTGAGAAATATCGATGAGAGAGAAACATCGATCAGCTGCCTCCCGCACACCCGCACTGGGGATGTGCCCGTAACCAAGGTACATGCCCCTGACCGGGATCAAACCTGGGACTCTTGACTCTGCAGGCCGATGCTCTATCCACTGAGCTAACCCGGTTTCGGCTAGTACATGTAATTCTTAACAAGGGGGTTCATGTTGTAAGTACTTCCGTACTCCCCCCTGACTCCCCCCCACCCCACACAACGCGTACCTTTCCACGTTGGGTCCTGAGCTGCCTCTCCGTTTTCTTAAACACAGTCTCCTAGCTTCCCCTCCTCCGGTGTGGCCGGTCCGTGACGCCCTGCACCAGAGCCCTGGAGATGCTGGCGCTGTCCCCGACTTTCCCTGCCGTGGTCAGTGCCCCGATACTGTCTGCATGCGGCTCTTGCAGGATTGCTGGGGTGCGCTAGTAGGTGCCGAGTGACAGCTGTTGCCCTGCCGCACCCCCCTGGCACCCCCAACCTGGAGGTTCCCAAAGCGCATTGAATCTGGGCCCCCCGGAAGGCCCCCTTGGCTTTGCACGTGCTGAATTGTGAGCAGCTGTTGAGTAGCTTCCCATTGTCATCGCCCACATGGGCTCATTCCCTCTCCCCTGCCTTCCCCTCGGAGCTCCTTCTGTGTTTGCCCGTTTCCTGGTGGGTGGGGCCGAGGCCGCCCGGAACTGACCCAGCTGCCGCCGAGGGGCCGGTGCGGGCAGAGGCCGCCGGGTTGCGAAGTTGTGGCCGCGGCTTTGAGTGTTGGCATGGGTTCCAGAAGCCAGTGCTCCTTGGCAATCTGGACAAGCCCCTAGAGGAGGGTTCTGCCGATCTGGGGACGAAAGGCTGATGTTTTTCTGATGTAACAACTGGGTGAGAAGTGGCGAGACCTCCATCACCCACCCCTGACCCAGTCCGCCGCCCCGCCCTCCTGGGGCCTCGGGGATGGGGTGGCTCCTGAGAGGTCGTTGTGCCGATTGGCTTCAGCTTGGGGCACTCCCGCCCTGGCCCGGACCCCGGCCCGGCCTGCTCTGTCTGCTCCCTGGCGCCCACTTCTGCGGGGTGACTGGGCCCTCCGGCCTGATCGCCCGCCGAGAGCAGCCGTCCCCTCCTGGTCCCCAAGCGGAGCTGGGATGAGCCGGGGCGCCGGCTTCGTCTGACCTGTTTCATTCGGACGGGACTGAGGTGGGGGATCCAGGCCCGGACGGGACTGAGATGGGGGATCCAGGCCGGACGGGATTGAGGTGGGGGATCCAGGCCTGGACAGGACTGAGGTGGGGGGATCCAGGCTGGTCGGGACTGAGGTGGGGGGATCCAGGCTGGACAGGACTGAGATGGGGGGGTCCAGGGCCCCCGGTTTTGCTGCTGTGTCACTTTGTCAGGAGGTCTTAGTCTGACCTGCAGGCTTTTGTGGTGAATTTTCTTTCTTTGAACGTGTGTCTCGGGAAGAACCCTGGCGAGCCAACACAGGGCCCGCACCCCGAAAGGTAAGGCCGCTTCGCTGTCTAGTTTAAGACGCCCCTCTGTGCTCGATGATGGTGCACTCAGGGCGGAGTGGCTGAGGGACAGGAGGGAGCGGCTTCCCCCAGCTGTGCGCCCAGCTGTGCCCCGAGCTGTGCCGCCCCGTGTGCTTTCCGGCGTGGGTTGAGAGCAGGCGCCTTGGCTCCCAGCTGGTGTTGGCTCCCTGCTCGCTGCCCCGGTCCTCCTCCCCTTCGCGGGAGGTCACCTGTCACCTCACCGCTGAAACATCCAGGCTGGGACACGGACTTCCTCGTTGCCGCTAACAGGAGCCACAAGAGGAAGAAGCGTGTTTGTCATTCAGTTTCCTTCTCAGGCAGGTCGTCTCGGGTCACTGTGGCATTTCTTAGAACGCGTTTCAGTGCTTTAAGGGTGGGTGAAACCCAGCGCTGACGTCACAGCCGCGCAGGTGAACGCCGTGTGTGTGCGTGTGCGTGTGTGTGTGTGTGTATGTGTGTGTGTGTATGTGTGTGTGTATGTGTGTGTATGTGTGCGTATGTATGTGTGTGGTGTGTGTGTGTGTGTGTGTGTGGTTTTACCCAGAGCTGGTCAGACTCACATCTGGACCCCAGACCTAGAGACAGGCTGGAAGGTGCTCAGAGAGCAGCCAGGGGTCCTGGTGGGGCGCCCTGGAGGGTGTGTTAGGCCCGGGCACAGCCACGTCCGCCCAGGCCCCAGGACCAGCCGGAGGCGGAGGGGAGCTGTGGGGGGGCCGCCGGGGGAGCCCGGGAGCAGACTCGTGCCCTGGAGGAAGAACCGGCCACTGACAGCCAAACGGCGTAAGAACCCCGGTGACGGGCTGCTCGCCCCCAGAACCACTGACTCAGCCTTTTAGGAAGGTCACAGAGGCACCCCGACAGCCGGTTCAGTGCTGGCCGGTGTAGGGATGAGACTGTCAGGCTCAGGAGGACAGGCATCAGCCTTGCCTGGGGCCGAGCCCAGAGCCAGGCCCGGCGAGCCCTCAAGTGACCTCTGCTGCTCGACGGAGGGGTGCACACGAGGGGAGGGGCGCACCCGCGAGGGGAGGGGTGGGGATTGGCGTGCGGTCCCCACGGCTGTGACGGCGGACCGTGGCTTCCAGGTGTAGCGGTGTCTCGCTGGTTCCCAGCGGACAGGATCTTGGCCCGGTGCTGCTGCCGAACTCGGGGGGTGGTTGCTAGCCCCCCGATGTGCTCATTTCCCCACGGCCGGGCCAGGAGGCCGGGCCAGGAGGCTCTGCACCCCGGTGCGCAGTCCCGCGGGCGGCAGGGGCAGTGGCCGCCGCGGGCAGAGGGGGAGCGGGTCGCCAGGCCGGAGCTGCTGCTGCCTCACCTCTCCTGCTTTTCCTGCTCTTACCCTTTGCCTGCGTGGCCTGCTGCTGGCGAGGTGCCCATGAGCCTCTCATTTAAACCCGTTTGGAGTGATTTTTTTTTGGGGGGGGGGCATTGTCTTGACGAGGTTCAGTGGAGAGAATGTTTCCCCTTTTCTTACTGTCTTCTGATTGTTAAGTTCTAGCTCTTTCCCCCGCATCCAGACCTGCCTAACGGCTCTGGAGGTGGAGGGTGTGCCAGTATCTGTACACCCTTTCCTCCATTCTCCCGTCCTGCCTCCCCCACCCCCCATTTCTCCTCCTCCCCCTCTCCCCCTCATCCCCTGAGCGTCTGCTTGAGTTAAGGACTTGACTGCCTCTTGCACGCCCCCTACTGGGGATGTGCCCGCAACCAAGGCACATGCCCTTGACTGGACTCGAACCCGGGATCCTTCAGTCTGCAGGCCGACGCTCTATCCACTGAGCCACACCGGTTAGGGCACAAATACATTTTTTGACCAAATCATAGTCCCAATGAGTTCTTGGTTAATACAGGTTCCTTCCTCATCCCTTAAATTTTGTTTAAATCGCGGTGAAAGACACACACCATTACGTTTACTGTCTCAGCCGTTTAAACTCGCCCAGCTCAGTTCACTTTATCCAAGTGCATTCACGCCGCGGCAGCCCTCACCCCGGCCAGGCCCGGCGTCTCTCGTCCCTCGGGAAGAAGCTCTGTCCCCACGAAACGCCGACTCGCCTTGCCCGCCCCCTCGGCCCGGCCATCACGGCTCCTCGTCCTGTCTGTGTGCCGCCGGCTCCTGCCGCCTCCCGCACAGACCACGCGGCCTCTGCCCTCCGGGCCCACCGCGGCCAGCAGGCGCCAGCGTCCCCTTTTGCAGGGAAGCGGAGAGAGAACCCATTGTGTGTTCAGACGACACTGGCCCGCCCTCCCGCCATCGGACACGTGGCTGGTCCCCGCCTCCTGGCAATGGGGAATGCGGTGGCTGGGAGCACGGTGTGCAGCCAGCGCTCTGAGGCCTCGCTGTCCGCTCTTGGGGACACCTGCCCAGAGGGGGACTGGCTGGACGTTTTAGCTTTGGGGGAGTCAGCACCCTGTGCCCGGTGGTGGCTGCACCGTTTTGCATTCTCGTCGACAGGGTGGGCGGACGCGTTCCTCCCCGTCCTCACCTGTGCCTGCTTTCCCTGCGTTTCAGAGAGCAGCCGTCCCCGCAGGAGGGGGCAGTGATGTCTCCCTTTAAACATTCTCAGCCCAGGCCGCCCGGGGGTAGAGGCTGAGGTGGGGGCATGAGCATGCCGTTGGTTAAGAATGATGGAATAGCCTAAACCGGTGTGGCTCAGTGGTAGAGCGTCGGTCTGCGGACTCAAGGGTCCCAGGTTCGATTCCGGTCAAGGGCATGTATCTGGGTTGCGGGCACATCCCCAGTAGGGGGTGTGCAAGAGGCAGCTGATACATGTTTCTCTCTCATTGATGTTTCTAACTCTCTATCCCTCTCTCTTCCTCTCTGTAGAAAATCAATAAAAAATATGTTAAAAAAAAGAAAAGAATGATGGAACAGGCTCTCTGCTTCTCCAGGGGGGTATCCCAGAGGCCTCCTGGGGTCTCGGGGTGGAGGGGGCGGGCGGCCATTCCAGGGGACAGAAAACAGGATGGTGCCGGCAGGAAGCCAGGCCGGACACGGAGCCCACGGTCTGCGGGTGTGGGCAGCGGCCCCCTTGAGTTCACTGTGCATGTGTGTGTGTGTGTGTGTTTTCCAGGCTCAGACCATGAATTACGTGGGGCAGCTGGCGGGCCAGGTGTTTGTCACCGTGAAGGAGCTGTACAAGGGCCTGAACCCCGCCACCCTGTCCGGATGCATCGACATCATCGTCGTCCGGCAGCCCAACGGGAGCCTGCAGTGCTCCCCCTTTCACGTGCGCTTCGGCAAGATGGGGGTGCTGCGCTCCCGAGAGAAAGTGGTGAGAGCCGGGCCGGGCCCGCACGGGGCTTCCCCACGGGAGCTGGTCCGGGGCTCAGATTTCCGTCTCCCCGTGGGCGGGGCTGTTCCCCGAGCAGGCGATGAGCTCGGCCTGTCCCGGTGACCGCGGCGGCGTGAACGGCTCTGGAGTTCAGGGGCTTAAACCCGTGGTCGGCAAACTGCGGCTCTGGAGCCACATGCGGCGCTGTGGCCCCTGGAGTGTGGCTCTCCCACAAACACCACGGCCTGGGCCAGTCTCTGTTGAAGACATGGCGTTAGGAGAAGTTTAAGTTTAAAAAAATGTGGCTCTCAAGAGAAATGTCAATCGTTGTCCTGTCGGTATTTGGCTCTGTGGACTCATGAGTTTGCCGATCACTGGCTTAAACCAGCTGTGGGCTCAGCTCCTGGGCTCTGGTCGGGAGTTCGGACGGCAGGGCCGGCCTCAGCTGGAAGGCTCCAGGCCGGGGCTGGGACCTCCGGAGACGTGTCACTCACATGACTGCTGCCTCTCAGGGGCTGTTGGCCCCTCCATGAGGTCTGGACGTCCTCACCACATGGTGGCCGGTGAGCATGGGGGGAGACAGAGAGAGAGAGAGAGAGAGAGAGAGAGAGCGCGCCAGCCAGTGGACACTGCCTTTCCCCCTGACCCAGCCTCTGAAGTCACCAGCGCCACCTCTGTGGTGTGCTGCTCGCTGAGCTGGGGCTCCGGGGAGGGTGGTGCGGGGTGGGGCAGGCTGCGGTCCCGATGGGGAGGAGCAGGCGGGGCCAGGCTGATGGTGGGCTCTCCGTGGCGTGTGTGCGGTTCAGGGCATGCGTGTGGCGGCGTGGCCGGGGGAGGCTGGCTCCTTGACGTGGAGACGTGCGCTCTCCTTCCAGGTGGACATAGAGATCAACGGGGAGTCCGTGGATTTACACATGAAGCTGGGAGACAACGGAGAAGCCTTTTTTGTTCAAGAGACGGATAACGATCAGGTGAGGAGGGCTGGGGTCAGGTCACTGCGCAGCTCCGTGGACTCATGAGTTTGCTGACCGCTGGCATAAACCTGCTGTGGGCTCAGCTCCTGGGCTCTGGTCGGGAGTTCGGACGGCAGGGCCGGCAGGAGACATGGGTGCGGGCGGAGCACGCTGCGGGCTCCGACGGCGCGGACGCTGGCAGCAGAGGAGGCAGGCGTTGGCCTGCCCTGGCCTTTTGGCTGCACGGGCTGCTGTGTGCTGACTCGGCGGTCCGGCTGCTTCCGTTGGCTCACTGTTTCCGGGGACGGAGGAACCAGTCGCCTGCCCTCAACCCTGCTCCGAAGCGTTCAGATTGCGCTGCTGTCAAACACAGAGGGCCGAGGGGCCGCATTTTTGTCTAGTGAGCGGCCAGATTGCTTTTGTTTTCGTTGCTTTATTTTATTCTTATTTTTTAGAATTCTCACCTGAGGCTATTTTCCCATTGATCTTTAGAGAGAGTGGAAGAGAGAGGGGAAGATAGAAACATGGACGTGAGAGAAACACATCGATTGGCTGCCTCCTGCAGGAGCCCTCACCAGGGCCCTGTCCGTGGAAGAGCCTGCAACGGAGTTACGTGCCCTTGACCGGAATTGAACCCGGGACACTTCCTTACACACACCCATGCTCTCTTACACACACACACACACACACACACACACACACACTTTCTCTCTCTCTGTCTCTCACATACACATGCTTACACATACACTCTTGCATACACACATGCTCTCTCACACACACACACATGCTCGCTTATACACACACACTCTTACATACACACTCTCTTTTAGACACACATGCTCTTACAACACTCTTACACTCTCCTACACACTCTCTTACACACACTCCTACACACACACTCTCCCTCCCTCTCACACACACATTCGCTCTTATACACATGCTCTCTTAGACACACACTCCTACACGCACACACATGATCTCTTACACACACACACCCTGACCCACACTGACGTGCAGAATTGAGTCTAGCTCCCAGGCAGTGCGGTGACTCAGCCTGTCTGTCCCCCCGCACTCCGGAGAGTTCCGCTGAGCTGAGTCCTGCGGCCTGAGGTCGCCGCGCAGGCCACACTGTGCTGCAACGATGAAGAGGCGGATGCGGTGCCAAAGGGCACTCAGCGAGTCCCAGGCGGACCCCGGTCCCTCCCGTGGCCCAGCAGCCGCGCCCGCAGGTCACGGGCGTCCTCACCGGGCGCTCCGGCCGCGGGAACCGGCCCGCCGGGTTGCCAACGGGCCCTCTGTCCTCAGGAAGTGATCCCCACGCACCTGGCCACCTCGCCCATCCTGTCGGACGGCGCCTGCCGCATGGAGAGCCAGCTGAGGCGGGGCCCCGGGGAGCGGGCGCGGGGCCCGCCCGGCGAGACGCCCTCCAGCGGCTCCCTGGGGAAGCAGCGCCGGAAGCGGCGGCGCAAGGCCCAGCTGGACAGCCTCAAGCGGGACGACAACCCCGGCACGTCCGAGGACGAGGACATGTTCCCCATCGAGATGAGCTCCGACGAGGAGCGGGACCCCGTGGACAGCAGGTGAGGGTCCGGCTGGAGAGCTGCCCGGAGGCCGGCGGCCGATTTCCAAAGACGGTTCTTACGTCCCTCCCACCCCGCCCGCCCCGTGGACACATTTAAAAATGGACACTGCCTTTGTGATGGTTCTGTCCTTTTAACATTGGATTTTAATAGCGCTCTCTCTCTCTCTCTCTCCCTCTCTCTCTCCCTCTCTCTCTCTCTCTCTCTCCTCCCTCTCTCTCCCTCTAACCAGAACTCTTAATAACGACATACCTCCATTCCAAGAAGATGTTCCCAAGGAGAACCTGCTCCCAGTCACGCCTTATTTTCAGTCATCATCGTACCCTAGTTCTGAGAGAGAGTGGTCACCCCACGCCAGGTGAGCTGCCGTGCGCGCGTGTGTGTATGTACACGCGTGTGTGCGTGTGTGTGTGCTCGCTTGTCCTGGCCCAGAGGGTCTGAAGCCATGAGGGGGCGTGTTCCGTAGAATGGGAACATACATAAGAGTGGAGTGAGTTAGGAGGAAGAAGAGGAAGGTGGGAGTAGGTCACAGGAGGACACAGGGTCGGCCTTCCTGTCTCCGGAGTGAGGTGCACGCGGCAAGGCTGCGTCAGGGCCACCGGGGCCGGGGGACCACCGCCTCTCCCTTCTCCCCGAGCTCAGGCACTCGCCCAGTTCAGGGTGTTATTTCCTGAAAGTGAGCGCACATGTCTGCTGGGCTTCCAGGGGGGCAGCTTTCAGAGAGCGGGAGGGGCAGAGCCACATCACGCCATCGCACCATGCCACCCCATCACGCCACCCCATCGCGCCACCCCATCACGCCACCCCATCATGTCACCGCAGCAGCGGCCATAGTGGCCGTCGGGGCGATAATTGGTTCTTTTTTTTATTTTTTATTTTATTGATTTTTTACAGAGAGGAAAGGAGAGGGATAGAGAGCTAGAAACATCGATGAGAGAGATACATCGACCAGCTGCCTCCTGCACACCCTGCACTGGGGATGTGTCCACAACCAATGTGCATGCCCTCGACCGGAATCGAACCCGGGACCCTTGAGTCCCCAGGTCGACGCTCTATCCACTCTGCCAAACCAGTTTCGGCCGATAATTGGTTCTTGAGAACTACAGCACACACACAGCTACCCTGGATATCGCCCCCCCTCATCTCCCCCGGGACACACACAGGCATTGAAATCTCACCTCCCAGGGAGCGTTGTCGGGGGGAAATGTCCCAGATGCTCCTGGGGTGGCGGTAGTGAGGAAGAGGTGGAGAAGGAGCCATCTAAGTGATAGTGAATGACAACTTGAATTATTCTTATTTATTTTTTGAGAGAGAGAGAGAGAGGAGAGAAACATCAATGTGAGAGTGAAACATCGATCAGCTGCCTTCTGCACGCCCAGACCAGAATCGAACTGGCAGCCTTTAGGTTCACAGGATGACACCCAACCACACCCCCTCCCCCCGCCCCTGGGCCGGGCTGTTATCGCTCTTCATGTGAGATTTACCTCCGGGCCCGGAGCTGCAGAGCTTCCTGCCTTCGCCTGTTTCCCACACTCACAGTCCTGGTTCCACTCTCACCCGTGTGATGCGTGTGTGCGTGGCGCTGCACGGTGAGGGGGGGAGGAGGAGGGGATGCTGAGTCTGAGCTGCAGGTCAGCGGGAACAGGCCGCATCCTGGTGTCCAGCCGGGACTGGGACCGTGAATGTCAGTCACTGGGAGCCAGGGTGGGGCCGGGGCCAGGAAAGTCCCCTCCCTGGGGTCGGACTGTCTGTCCCGTCTGACAGCAACATGGTGCTAGTCACAGACGTAAATGAAAACGTTCTAGCAGCCATCCTGGAAAAGTAGAAGGACACTGAGCAGGTGAACTTCCATGATGTATTTCATCCGACCCAGTGTATCCAGAATAGCATGTCAGGTAGTCAGTTTTTAAAACCACTATTAATGGGCTGGCCACATGGCTCAGTGGTTGAACTTCGATCTGTGAACCAGGAGGCCACGGTTCGATTCCCAGTCAGGGCACACGCCTGGATTGCGGGCTCGATCCCTCCAGTGTGGGGCGTGCAGGAGGCCGCTGTCATCATTGATGTTTCTCTCCCTCCCTCCCTCTCCCTTCCTCTCTGAAATCAATAAATATATACAGAGTGGCCAGATTAGTATGCTCTCTGAATGCATAATAATCTGGCCACTCAGTGTATATTCTATATAATAGAAGGCTAATATGCAAATTGACCCCTCGGCCAGGAGGTTGACTAGCAGGCAGGCAGGCCAACCACCCATGTCCCTTCCTCCTGGCCAGATCCCAGTCATGCATGAATTCATGCACCAGGCCACACACACACACACACACACACACACACACACTGAATGGCCAGATTATTATCTGTTCGGAGATCACCATCCTCTGTCCACTCGGTGCATTTAAGAGCAGTCTTCCTGAGCTCCGTCACGTGTTGTGTGTGTGCTAGGCCTGTGAAGTCGTGGGTCTCACACGGACAGCGCCATTCACGGGCCCGGCCGTCACAGCAGCCGGCGGCTCCCCTGTCGGACAGCGAGGCGGGTCCCGTCCCCGGACCTCAGACACTCTCCTGGGTCCCTGGCGATGAGCCCCCCAGAGGGGAGCACAGGACTCAGGGAGGAAGTACGGGGGTGTTTGGACACCAGTGGGTGGAAGTATGTTCACCCTTTGTTCCAGTGAGGATTTAGGCGTTTCAGACACAGCCCCGGAGAGGTTTCCTCTCTTCCGTTTTCCTCTGCGAGTCTGGGGTGATGACCGTGTCAGGGTAGGAGGGCCCGCCCGCTGCCCGGTGCCATGGCCAGTGCGGGTGAGGGGACACACTTCCACTCATGGCACTGTGGGCGCTCCTTAAGGAGGCAGCCGCGGCGCACAGTCAGACCGCATGCCCAGCGCGGGGGAGGCGGGCTCAGCCGCGGGAGCAGTGCCTGCTGGGCACGTGGGTGAGACGGAAGGGGCGCTGGGCCCCGGGCGGCTTCCTGTTCTGCGGTTCAGAGAGCTCCTGCTGGTTTCTTTCCTTCTTCTTCTTCTTCTCTCTCTCTCTCTCTCTCTCTCTCTCTCTCTCTCTTTTTTTAATATATAAGAGAGGAAGGGAGAGAGTTAGAAACATCGATGAGAGAGAAACATCGACCAGCTGCCTCCTGCACACCCCCCACTGGGGACATGCCCGTAACCAAGGTGCATGCCCTTGACCGGAATCGAACCCGGGACCCTTCAGTCCGCAGGCTGGCACTCTATCCACTGAGCCACACCAGCCGGGGCTCCTGCTGGTTTCTCAGCGACGTTAACAGCTGCTCGGCTGCGGGCCGGGCCGGGAGGTTCGCCTCTTCCCAGGGGGACCCCTGACGGCGGTCCCGGGCCGGGCCGGGCAGGAGGCTTGGGTTCAGGTCACTGACCGGTGACCTTCTCTCTCCATGTGTGTCCCGGCACCCAGTAGCCCGCTGGATTGCAAACGGACGCCCCCTCACGTGGCAGTGGCCGAGGGCCTGCTCTCCAGCTCCTGCCCTCCGCAGTCCGTCCTGCACGCTCCCGAAAGGTAGCTGCCCGCGGTGTCCCCACAGCCAGCTCCTCACTCACCCTGCAGCCTGGTAACCGCTAACCAGTTTCTGGTAACCGCTAACCAGTCACCCTGGTAACCACTAACCAGTCACCCTGGTAACCGCTAACCAGTCACCCTGTTAACCGCTAACCAGTCCCTCTGTTAACCGCTAACCAGTCCCTCTGTTAACCGGTAACCAGTCCCTCTGTTTACTGCTAACCAGTCCCTCTGTTAACCGCTAACCAGTCACTCTGTTAACTGCTAACCAGTCTCTCTGTTAACTGAGAACCAGTCACTCCATTAACTGCTAACCAGTCACCCTGTTAACTGCTAACCAGTCACCCTGTTAACCACTAACCAGTCCCTCTGTTAACTGGTAACCAGTCCCTCTGTTAAGCGCTAACCAGTCCCTCTGTTAACCGCTAACCAGTCCCTCTGTTAACCGCTAACCAGTCCCTCTGTTAACTGCTGACCAGTCCCTCACGCAGAAAAGCGATCATCGTGGGTTTGTGTTTAAGTCCTTCAGGCTCCCGGCCTTCCACGCCTAAGAGCGACTCCGAGCTGGTCAGCAAGTCGGCCGACAGGGCGGCGCAGAAGAGCAACCTGGAGATGCTGTGGCTGTGGGGGGAGCTGCCCCAGGCCGCCAAGGTGCGTGCCCCCGCTTCCGGCCCCCCGCTTCCGGCCCCTCAGCGAGCCGCCCCTAAAACGCAAAACAGACAGCTTTCCTCCCAGGAAACCTTGCTCACAGGCCAGTGTGTGCTGAGACCCTGGACGTGCTGTGTTCCAGGCTGGGTGTGTTTTGCACGGAGTCTGTGAGGGCCCCGGGACGATGCCGCAGCCTCTCGAACCCCCAGTGAACGTCTGGGACCCGCAGGGATGGGTGGCCTGAGCGCAGGCGGGCCTCCCTGCTGAGGCCAGGAGGGCACTGTGTGGCCAGCAGGCGGGCCTCCTTGCTGAGGCCAGGAGGGCACTGTGTGGCCAGCAGGCGGGCCTCCCTGCTGAGGCCAGGAGGGCACTGTGTGGCCAGCAGGCGGGCCTCCCTGCTGAGGCCAGGAGGGCACTGTGTGGCCAGCAGGCGGGCCTCCCTGCTGAGGCCAGGAGGGCACTGTGTGGCCAGCAGGCGGGCCTCCCTGCTGAGGCCAGGAGGGCACTGTGTGGCCAGCAGGCGGGCCTCCCTGCTGAGGCCAGGAGGGCACTGTGTGGCCAGCAGGCGGGCCTCCCTGCTGAGGCCAGGAGGGCACTGTGTGGCTAGCAGGCGGGCCTCTCTGCTGAGACCAGGAGGGCACTGTGTGGCCAGCAGGCGGCTGGGCTGACGCTGGCCGATGCCCTCGGGGGCTATATTTAGCTGTTGTCACGGGAAGTGCTGACTCCGCTGCCTGCAGACTGCTGACCCAGGCACCCCCTGCCACACACACACACACACACGCCTGTGTGTCTGGTTGCTGGGAGACAGTGTGGCAGTGCGGACCCATCGCTTCTGGAGAGCCAGTCCAAGCACAGGCCCCGCCACACGGGGTCCCTCTGTGCCCGGAGCAGGGCTCAGACGTGGGGCTGAACGCCCTGTCCTCCCCCTTCTGGCGCACAGATCGCCGTTGAGGGGAGAGTGTTTTGTTTGGATGAACCTTTCCGTGACTGGAAACGCCTGCAGCCAGCCGCCAAACTGTCACTCGTTCACTCACGTTTGGGGGTCACACACACACACACACACACACACACACACACACACACACGGGAATGCCCGGATGGCAAGTGCTGGGGTCCATGCATTTCCCGGTGAGCGTGGCCATGTGACTCGAACCCAGACCAGGAGCGGGGACCCCCTGGAAGCCCCACCGTGCAGTGTCTGCTCACGCTGACCCCCCGCAGGGGCAGACCAGGTCTTGCCTCCAGCAGCAGAGGCTGGCCACACTCGCTCCTCAGGTCGTTGGTAACCGAGGCTCAGTCTGGCAGCATCCCCCACGGCCACACATCTGGGCTGCTGCCCCCTGCTGGCCATCACCAGTCTCCCTCTTTCTGCTCGGCAGCTCGTGTTTATTTTTTAATTTTTATTTTTTAAAGTAATTTCTTTATTGATTAAGGTATCACATATTTGTCCTCAACCCCCCATTCCAATCCCCCACCCCACCCCACGCATGCCCCCAACCCCCTATTGTCCTTGACCACTGGCTAGGCTCCTTGTGTGCACACTAGTCCTTTGGTTGATCTCTCCCTTTTATCCCTCCCCCTCCCTCTGAGGTCCAGCAGCCTGACCCATGGCTCCTTCTCGCTGGGTCTGTTCTCGTTCATTAGTCTGTGCTGTTCACCATTCCCCCCAGAGGAGTGAGATCATGTCCTACTGGAAATACACTTATAAGAATCAAAGACGAGACAAGCAGTAACCGTTATGCTGAGAGGCAGATGAACCGGTCTGTAGTGAGCTGCTTTCTGGGCAGCGGGTGTGTAAATACCGGTTCCTCTTCGTGGGAACGGCTGTTCCCGGTCTCGGTGACCCCGCGCCGGAGCCCCCGGGCGTGGACGGCGGCGGGTCCTCACCCGGCGCCTGGCTCTTTGCTGACCTGCTTTTTCTGCCTGTGCCCTGACCCTGCCGCCCCTCGCCCGCCTCCCTCCAGTCGGCGACACACAAGATGAAAGACTCGAGCCCGCGGAGCGGCAGGAAGTTCTCGGAGAAGGTGCACTTCCAGGCCATCCACAGCGAGCCCGCCGAGGCCTTCGGGGAGCCGGAGCCGGAGCCAGAGCCGGAGCCGCAGCCGCAGGCCGAGGCGCCCCCCCTCCCGCGGCCGCCCCCGGAGCAGAGCCCGCCGCCCGCCCAGATGCAGTTTGTGAACCAGGAGGACGTGGAGGCCCTGGGGGCCGCCGCCCCGGCCGCGCCCGCCCCCGAGGAGCCCCGGGCCCTCGCCGCCGCGTCCAGCAAGACGGACTCGCCGTCCAGGAAGAAAGGTGTGTGCGGGTGAGGCCGGCGCCGCCCCTTCCGTGCCCTGCCCGCCGCCCGCCCCCGGGCCTGCCCTCAGAGCGCAGAACTCGGACCCGAGACGCCTGTCCTGTCCACTCCCTGCCCTTTTGCCAAATATGTTAGGACTGTGGTCGGCAAAGTGCGGCTCCCGAGCCACATGCGGCTCTCTGGCCCCTGGAGTGTGGCTCTTCCACAAAACGCCACGGCCTGGCCGAGTCTGTGGTGAAGACGTGGCGCGAGAAGTAGTTGAAGTTTAAAAACTGTGGCTCTCCGGAGACACGTCAGTCGCTGTGCTGTTGGTCCCTGGCTCTGTGGGCCGGTGGGTTTGCCCCCGCTGTGTTAGGAGAGTTCAGTGGCGGACAGGGAGGCGTGAAGGCGGTTTTGGGGGGCCACGTGGCGAACCCTCATTTCACAGCCCGGGCCCTTCTGAGCTCTGCACACCGGGCTTCAGTGTGTTCCCCAGGGGCACTGGGAGGTCAGAGGTCGGGGGCCAGAGGTCGGGGGTCCCGGGCGCGGCTCTGACCCGCTCCTTGGCTCCTTGGTTTGCAGACAAACGAAGCCGGCACCTCGGGGCGGACGGCGTCTACCTGGACGACCTCACAGACATGGACCCCGAAGTGGCCGCCCTGTATTTCCCCAGGAAGTGAGGCTGCTCTTCCTCCCCGCGGGCGGGCTCTCTGTGGGCACGGGCGGGCGGGCGGGCGGGCACCTCCGGGCGCTGCGGCCGCCGTCGGAGCGGGGAGGCGGCAGGAGGCTGTCTCCCCGGGACGCGGAGGGTGTGGTGGTCGGTGACCCCGGGCCGGGCCGGGCCCCACGGAGGGCGAAGCTGGAGCTGGGGCTCAGGAGTGTGCTCGGTCCCCAGTCTCTCCATGGGAGTGTGTGTGTGTGTGTGTGTGTGAGTGTGTGTGTGAGTGTGTGAGTGTGTGTGTGTGTGAGTGTGTGAGTGTGTGTGTGTGTGTGAGTGTGTGTGAGTGTGTGTGTGTGTGGGAGTGTGTGTGGGAGTGTGTGTGTGTCTGTCTGTGTGTGTGTGTGTGTGTGTGAGTGTGAGTGTGTGGAGTGTGAGTGTGTGTGTGTGTGTGTGTGAGTGTGTGTGTGAGTGTGTGTGTGTGTGAGTGTGTGAGTGTGTGAGTGTGTGTGTGTGTGAGTGTGTGAGTGTGTGAGTGTGTGTGTGTGTGTGTGTGAGTGTGAGTGTGTGAGTGTGTGAGTGTGTGTGTGAGTGTCTGTGTGAGTGTGTGTGTGTGTGTGTGAGTGTGTGTGTGTGTGAGTGTGTGGTGTGTGAGTGTGTGAGTGTGTGTGGGAGTGTGTGTGTGTGTGTGTGTGAGAGTGGGAGTGGGGGGGGCTGCGGGAGAGGTGGGAGGCAGAAGCGGATGGTGCTCTCTGCTCGGAACGTCTTCAGCTGGCCTTGGTTGGGGTTGTTTTTTTTTTTTTTAATTTTTAAAAATACATTTTATTGACTTTTTACAGAGAGGAAGGGAGAGAGACAGAGAGCTAGAAACGTTGATGAGAGAGAAACATCGATCAGCTGCCTCTTGCACACCCCCTACGGAGATGTGCCCGCAACCAAGGTACATGCCCCTGACCGGAATTGAACCCGGCACCCGTCAGTCCGCAGACCGACGCTCTATCCACTGAGCCACACCGGCTTTGGCTGGGGTGGTGTTTTAATGAAAGTCCGTTTCAGGATGGGGTGGGGTGTCCTGGATTGCGTGTCCTTTTACGTGTGTGTGTGTGTGTGTGTGTGTGTGTGTGTAAGAGAGAGAGAGAGAGAGAGAGAGAGAGAGAGAAAGAGAGAGAGAGAGAGAGAGAGAGAGAGAGAGAGAGAGAGAGAGAGAGAGAGACCCCAGCCGGGAAAATCCTCAGAACACCTCCCCTCTTCCTCCTTCCAGCGGGGACCCCGCCGGGCTCCCCAAACATGCCGACAGCGGAGCCCGGTCAGCCAACCAGTCCCCGCAGTCCGTGGGCAGCTCTGGCGCCGACAGTGGCGTGGAGAGCACCTCGGACGGCCTGAGGGACCTGCCGTCCATCGCCATCTCCCTCTGCGGCGGCCTCAGCGACAACCGGGAGATCACCAAAGGTACTGCCCGCCGGCACCCCAGCGGGCTCCGGGCCCAGAGCGCCCCCTGGTGGCAGCTGCTCAGAACGCCCGCAGCTTGGCTTCCACCCTTCCTTCTGGTCCCACCGCCTCGGCATCTGGTGAAGGACAGCACGTGTGACCCACGGCTGCTCACGACCCCCGTGCTGCTGGCTCGCCCTTGGCGACCTTGGCTTGCCCGTGGTGACCTTGGGTTCTGGTGTTCACACTTGGCTTCAGGGAGCAGCCAGGCCACCGGGGGTGCTCTGCCGTGTGTGTCCTTACCCCATGCCAGGCCCCCCCTCCCTCATCTGCAAGCGCAGGAGCCCCCTGAGGGCACCTTTCCCCACATCCTCCGCTACCCAGCTCCCTGCGCTCTGCACACACTCTGCCCCCAGACAAAGCGAAGGTCCTGCCTTTCGCAGGCGCACGTGAGGACTTCCTGTGCAGGGGCGCACACAGGGGCACTCGGGCGCATACAGAGGTGCCCACAGGGGCACACACAGGGGCGCACTCAGGGGCGCACACGGGCACACACAGGGGCTCACACAGGGGCACAGACAGGGGCACACACAGGGGCACACACAGGGGCACATAGGGGCTCACACAGGGGCTCACACAGGGGCTCACCCAGGGGCTCACACAGGGACGCACACAGGGGCTCACACAGGGGCTCACCCAGGGGCTCACACAGGGACGCACACAGGGGCTCACCCAGGGGCTCACACAGGGGCGCACACAGGGGCACACACGGGCACACACAGGGGCACACACAGGGGCGCACACAGGAGCGCACACAGGGGCATACATGGGCGCACACAGGGGCACTCGGGGGCACACACAGGGCGCACACAGGGGCACACACAGGGGCTCACACAGGGGCACAGACAGGGGCACACACAGGGGCGCACACAGGGGCTCACCCAGGGGCTCACCCAGGGGCTCACCCAGGGGCTCACACAGGGGCGCACACAGGAGCGCACACAGGGGCACTCGGGGGCACACAGGGCGCACACAGGGGCACACAGGGCGCACACAGGGGCTCACCCAGGGGCTCACCCAGGGGCTCACCCAGGGGCTCACACAGGGGCTCACCCAGGGGCTCACACAGGGGTGCACACAGGGGCTCACCCAGGGGCTCACACAGGGGTGCACACAGGGGCTCACCCAGGGGCTCACACAGGGGCGCACACAGGGGCTCACACAGGGGCTCACACAGGGGCTCACACAGGGGCGCACACAGGGGCGCACGGGCTCACTCGGGCGCACACAGGACACAGTAAACTCTCAGGAAGCTCCCAGGAGCCCCTGCTCTGTGGACCAGGTTTTCCTCATCCCCCTTCCCCCACGGTTGCTCCCCAGACGCGTTTCTGGAACAAGCCGTGTCGTACCAGCAGTTTGTGGACAACCCCGCCCTCATCGACGACCCCAACCTCGTGGTGAAGATCGGGAGCAAGTACGTGCCTCCGGCCCACGCGGCGGCCTGGACGGAGCCGCAGACGCTGTTCTCCGCGTCCACTGCTTCCGTCCGCTCAGCGTGTGGCCGGCAGCTGCCGCGGGCGGGGCGGGCTCCGGGCTGGGGGCTGGTGGAGCCGATGGCCCCGGCATGGGTGTTATGTGCCCGTGCACAGTCCCGGGCCGAGTGGCCCACGGGGGGAGGAGGGGTGGAGTGGGCAGCGTGCCTCCCCTTGAGAGCCGGTCTGAGTGGGCGGGCAGGTGCCTCGTAGGCGCTGGCGGACTCCCTAGAGCGGCGGCTCTCCCCCTCCCTCACGCCGAGACCCTTTAATCCGGCTCCTCACGCCGTGGTGACCCAACCACACAGTTATCTTCGCTGCCACTTCATCACTGCAATTCTGTGCTGTTATGCATCGTAATGTGGATATCTGTGTTTTGCGACGGCCTGAGGCTCCACGGCAGCGGTTCTCAGCCGTCTAAGGTCAGCTCCACCCAAGACCATCGGGAAACACAGATATTCACATTACGATGCATAACAGCAGCAGAGTTACAGTGATGGAGTAGCAGCGAAGATAACTGTGTGGTTGAGGGTCACCACGCCATGAGGAGTGGATTAAGGGGTCCCGGCGTGAGGAAGGGGGAGAGCCGCTGCCCCAGAGGAAGGCGGGGACCCCCGGGCGCTGGCGTGGGAGGCCGGGGGCCCTGGTTGCCTTTCCCGGAAGCCGGGCGGCGATGCCACAGGCTCTGCCGTCTGGACAGCTGCTCGCCCCGCGGGGCGGCCACTGCCAGGGGGACATGCGGAAGGCCTGGGTGCAGGCTCTTCACGGACCCAGCTGGGGTTCCAGAACTTTCCACAGCCAGACCTTATGACATTGGCTTTTCAGTCTGGCCTGGGGCCTTTTAAAATTTTTCTTTTTTAGCCGAAACCAGTTTTGCTCAGTGGATAAAAAGTCAGTCTGCGGACTGAAAGGTCCCGGGTTCGATTCTGGTCAATGGCATGTACCTTGGTTGAGGGCACATCCCCAGTAGGGGGTATGCAGGAGGCAGCTGATGGATGTTTCTCTCATCGATGTTTTTGATTCTTTATCCCTCTCCCTTCCTTTCTGTGGGGGGGAAATATATATATATATATATACGTTTTCTTTTTAAAAAATATATTTGTATTGGTTTCAGAGTGGAAGGGAGAGGGAGAGAGAGATGGAAACATGAGTGATGGGAGGGAATCATGGATCGGCTGCCTCCTGCACACCCTGCACTGGTGATGGAGCCTGCAATCGGGCAGGTCCCTGACCGGGAATGTTTGTGTGGGCTCCGGGTCAGAGGTGGGTGCTCAGCCCCTGAGCGTGAGTGTGTATGTGTGTGTGAGTGTGTGTGTGAGTGTGTGTGTGTGTGTGTGTGTGTGTGAGTGTGTGAGTGTGTGTGTGTGTGTGTGTGTGAGTGTGTGTGAGAGAGAGTGTGAGAGTGTGAGTGAGAGTGTGTGTGTGTGTGTGTGTGTGTGTGTGTGTGCGCTCGCGCGTGCATGAGATTGTGTTTGGTCCTGTGACGCATTTCGCTGTTTCCTGCAGGTATTACAACTGGACCACGGCGGCCCCGCTGCTCCTGGCCATGCAGGCCTTCCAGAAGCCGCTGCCAAAGGTGAGCCTGAGCGGAGGAAGACAGGGACGCCGGACCGACGGGCGGCTGGATCTCAGATTTTAGTTTAAAAGCCACAAAGTTAGTTACGCTGGGCTTTTCCCACGTTCCCCAGCACCAGGGCCAGGGGTCCGAATCTGCTTCTCTGGCCCCTCAGAGGCCATGGCTTTCCTTGCACCTCGTGCCCTTGGCAGGTGCCCTGTCTGCTTCCGGGTCAGAGGACCCTGCTGCCTGGGCTCCCCCGGTCTCCTCTGACTTTGGAGAGAGTATGCTCGCTCCTTCCTTGTGTGTGAGTGTGTGTGTGTGTGTGTGTGTGTGTGAGAGAGAGAGAGAGAGAGAGAGTATATGTGTGCACATGAGTGTGCGTGAGTGGTGTGTACGAGAGTGTGTGTATGTGTGAGTGCATGTGAGTGTATGTGTGAGTGCATGTGAGTGTGTTTAAGAGTGTGAAGTGTGTGTGAGTGCATGTGAGTGTATGTGTGAGTGCATGTGAGTGTGTTTAAGAGTGTGAAGTGTGTGTGAGTGTGCACGTGTGTGTGAGTGTGAGAGTATGTGTTTTTGAGTCTACGCTCGCTCCTTGTGTGTGTGTGTGTGTGTGTGTGTGAGTGCATGTGAGTGTGTGTAAGAGCGTGAAGTGTGTGTGAGTGTGCACGTGTGTGTGAGTGTGAGAGTATGTGTTTTATGAGTCTACGCTCGCTCCTTGTGTGTGTGTGTGTGTGTGTGTGGGTGTGTGAGTGTGCATGTGTGCATGTCTGATAAGCCTACGCTCTCTCCTTCCTTGTGTGTGGTAATGTCCCGTTCGTCAGAACTGACACTAAAACCATCCTGTGCACCTTACCCGTGTGGTTACTACGCCCCCGTAACCACTCCACTTTTTACTTTATGGCGACCCCAGCGAGACTCCTGCCTTAATGACATTCGGAGTAACCAGCCAGCCCTCCCTTTGAAGCCTGCGGTCTGACTGATCAGTAACGACTCCAATGCTTTCTTTCCTTTCCTTCTGTTTTCTGTCCCATCTCTCTGTTGTTTGCTCCTTCCTTCGGCATCTCCTTAAGTCCTCCTGCTTAAGCTACCTCCATGCGCTTTTGGACGCCATTAGGTTTTGCTTCTCAAAAGTTTTCAGTTCGCACGTGGTACGTTGCGTTTCCCCTCGTCCGTCCGTCCGTCTGTCCGACCCTTTCTTTGCGCCTTTTGGTTGGACTGCGCTGAGCTGGCCTCCTTTTGGTTCCGTTATTTATGTTGCCGTCCATTTGGAACAGGCCACGGTGGAGGCCATCATGAGGGACAAGATGCCCCGGAAGGGAGGACGGTGGTGGTTCTCGTGGCGGGGAAGGAACACCACGAGCAAGGAGGTAAGCACGGCGCCGGGCGTGCCGGGCGCAGCTCAGCGCGGCTGGGAGTTTCTCCGGGTCTTTCTCCGCAGCAGAGGCAGAGCCGCACGCCCAGGGTTCAGGAGCCGCCGCCTCACCCCGAGCGGGGAGGCTGGAGGAGAAGGCCTGGGGCAAAGGGGGCGGCGAGCAGAGAGCTGGGATCAGAGACCCTGGCCCAGCCACACTTTGAAAAAAATGTTTTGCTGATTTCAGAGAAGGAGGGAGGGAGAGGGAGATAGAAACATCAGGGATGAGCCGAAACCGGTTTGGCTCAATGGATAGAGCGTCGGCTTGGGAACTGAAAGGTCCCGGGTTCGATTCCGGTCAAGGGCATGTACCTTGGTTGCGGGCATATCCCCAGTAGGGGGTGTGCAAGAGGCAGCTGATCGATGACTCTCTCTCATGGATGTTTCTAACTCTCTATCTCTCTCCCTTCCTCTCTGTACAAAATCAATAATATATATATATATATGAAACATCAGGGATGAGAGAGAATCAGGATGGGCTGCCTCCTGCACGCCCCCCTCCCCAGTTTGGAGCCCACAACTGGGGCATGTGCCCCGACCGGGATTTGAACCACGACCTCCTGGTTCCTAGGTCGACGCTTAACCCCTGAGCCACACCGGCGGGGCTGGCCCAGGTCCTCTTCATCTGTAAAAGAAGGGAGTCAGCCTGATAGGAACCCTGTTTTTCAGGTTAAACACTTTCCTCTGTGTGTGAGGTCGTGTCTGTGCGCGTACTGACGGCTGTGGACTCGTCGTCATCAGCCTGCACCTCAGGGGCGGGTCTGGGTACACGTGTCTGGCTTTCCAGCACTGTACGCACCTGTCATTGTTTTCAGACTTTGTCTGCCTCCCACCCTGCTCTCCCATCATTCTCTCTGCTCCCACGCCACATGTCCCCCTGGCCTCCCCCTTGGGCTCAGCCCCACCCCCACGAGGGTTCTCGAGGGTTGTCTTGGGGTCCCCTCTCCCGCTTTAATTGCCTGCTTTTCCCTGGGCAGCCTCACCACACCCCCGTGAGGCCCCCCCCCTTCATGTCCAGACCAGACAATCTTTTATATTCGATGCCCATGTATCAGGGAGCCAGCTAGGCAGACATCCATGAGAGTTTGGCAGAACACCTTTAGCTTGTCTTTTTTTTTTTTTTTTAATATATTTTATTGATTTTTCACAGAGAGGAAGAGAGAGGGACAGAGAGTAAGAAACATCGATGAGAGAGAAACACTGGTCAGCTGCCTCCTGCATACTCCCTACTGGGGATGTGCCTGCAACCAACACACTATCTACTGAGCCAAACTGGCTTTGGCTGAGCCTGTCGTTTTTAATACTGAACTCACATTCGGAGAGTGGCCGCTGCCACTTCCTTTTCTTCCCGCTCATGTTCAGTCCCTTGCCAGGTCCACCCACTGGCCATCCTGAGTGCTGCTCAGATTTCCCAGTTCCCTCTGCCTTCCCTCCCCCACCTCCAGGTGGCGTGGTCCCTCCCGGGATCGCTTCCCAAGGAGCTGCTTGCACCGCTCTTGTCCTCTCTCCGTTCTTTCTGCTGTGACCACATCGTTCTGTTGAGACTGGTCCCTCCTCAGAGCCTCGTGACGGGTTCCCGGGTTCCTCTAATTCAGACCCTGCCCTTCACATGGTCACAGGGCTTGGGTACCCCAGGCTCCCTCTTCAGCCTCATCTTTTGCATCCTCTCCCCGTCCCCTGTGCTTCAGCGCCACTGGCTGAATGCACAATCTGCCCCAGGACCTTTGCACGTGGTGTTTCCTCTGCCTGGTGCTCTTAGGACCCTTTTCCTTACTCTTCACCGAATTCACTGGCCGGCTCCCTTCCCTCAGAGCCCAGCCTGGGACCCTTTCCTTCAGTCCTGACTTCTGTCAGTGTTTGCAGTTACACACGTGTCAGTGTGAGTGCCAGATGGACACCTTTTCCCCTCTAGCCCCCTAGCCCCGGGGGCCGAGACCACGTGCCTCTGAGTCCTTCCTGGGTGCCCCCGTGTCCGCACCGGACCAGAACCGGGGCGGGCAGGCCCTTGCGGAGGGGACGCTGATTGCTGTTGGGGTGCAGTAGCAGGAACCCCAAGGGCAGCGGTCTGGCTGGAGGTCAGAGCAGTGAGAGAGCCTCAGTGGCTCCCGTCTGTGTCCATCGGGTCAGAGGGAGAGCGGGGTGGGAGGAGCTTGTGAAGATCAGGCTGCCCTTGGACACGTTCTGTCCGCACCCCTGAGTGTGCTGACTGCCCGCTGTGTCCGGGGAGCGAGGCAGGTCAGAACAAACAGCTCTTCACTCTCGGAGACGGGGCCCGAGGGCCTTTCTGGTCCCTGGCGGGGGCAGCCTGTTGGAAAAATTAGGCAGAAGAGTATGCAGCTCCTCACCAGTTTGGGTTGAGGGGAATGCCAGCGTGAAATAAGGAATAGTTAAGACACTAAATATTTCTAAAATAAGTATACTTATTTCAGATGGATAGCTACTTATGAACCAGTCTAACCAAGGCTTGACCCTCAGAATTCCAGAGCACTCCGGCCCATCAAGGGAGCATCTTCTTCCTTCCTCCCTTCCCCCCTCCCTTCCGTCCTCCCTCCTTCCCTCCCTCCCTCCCTCCCTCCCTCCCTCCCTCCCTCCCTCCCTCCCTCCTTCCTTCCTTCCTTCCTTCCTTCCTTCCTTCCTTCCTTCCTTCCTTCCTTCTTTCCTTCCATATATTTTATTGATTTTGGAGAGGAAGGGAGAGGGGGAGAGAGAGAGAGATAGAAACATCCATGATGAGAGAGAATCATTGATTGGCTGCCTCCTGCACGCCCCCTACTGGGGATCGAGCTCACAACCCAGATATGTGACCTTGACTGGAATCGGACCTGGGACCCTCAGTCCGCAGGCCGATGCTCTGTCCATGGAGCCACACCAGCTAGGGCCAGAGGAGCACTGTCTATGAGAAGTGGGCAGCATTGAGAAAGAGCGGCTGTGTCCACGTTTTCCCAAGAAGACATGGTGTGAGGACATTCCAGGCGCTTCTGCCAGCAGTGTGAGGACGTTGGAGAGCCCCGGCCTGCAGCAGCCCCTCTGCCCTCCGCACGGGGCTACAGGAGCGTGGCCTGTGGCTCGGTGCACACCCACGTGGAAGACACTCCTCTGCCCTCACTTCACCGTGTCCTCCACGCACAGGCTCACCGGGCCCTGCCTGCCGGGGCAGCGCCGTGGGGGAGGCTCCGGGCCCGAGCCTGGGCTTAGGGGGTGCCCTTCGGGGGCCCCAGCTCTGCCTGCTGCTTCTCTCTGGTGCACCCTGACCTCCTTTCTCCCCCAGGAAAGTAAGCCGGAGCAGGGCCTGGCTGGCAAGAGCCACAGCACCGGGGAGCAGCCGCCGCCGCTCAGCATGGCCACCAGGTACGTGCCAGGCGTCAGGGCACAGGTCCGGCTGGTGCTGCCGGCACAGCGCTCACCGAGCACCGCGGCCGGGGGTCCAGCGGCCCTGTCTTGGGTGCGGGACGCGGAGCAATGTGCCAGGTCTCCCAGCGACCAGAGGAGAGGGCCGCTCCCCCTTAGGTCTGATTTCCGGACCGGGCGGCGGGCTGACGTGGTGGGACGGAGCCAGCTCTTCTGGGTCCGTGAGCAGCGGCGGCGGTCACAGAGGGGAACCCGTGTCCTCCCGAGCAGGCTGCCTCCCTCTGCGGGCTCCACGCCAGGACGCGGGTGCTGCTTTCCGCCTGGCGCCGTGGGCTCCTGTGTGCTGGCGTCGGGGGCGGCAGGTGGAGGTGACGCTGTGCAGCGTTAGCCGGGTTCTGTCTTGGAGTTCATCTGTCTGCGGGGCCGGGGTGGCTCTGTTCACGCGTGGCTGCTGTGTGTGGACATGGAGATCGGAGGACAAGCACCGCACCTGCCGTCCCGGCCTGGCCGTGTTCCCACGGGGGCAGCGGGGGCAGCGGGGGCAGCGGGGGCAGCGGGAGGGCGCTCCTTACTTGGTGGGCAGGGAACGCTGACCGTTATCGGAAGGCACGATGGGCATCCTCACCGCTTGGCACCTGGGAGGCCGGCCCGCGGGCACAGGCAGGCGGTCAGAGCCGTGCTGGGCGCTCGCCGAGCCGCTGTGAGCCCAGGAGCTGTTGATCGGAGGAGAGGGCGTAGCGTTCCGTCCTCAGCTTCCTCCCGGCCAGCGCAGGCCCTTCGCCCCTGCGTTCCCAAGTTCCCGGCTGGAAACAGGACCCCGCATCAGTGGCAAGCAGGCGATGGCTGATGTGCCTTGCTGTCTGTGGGGCCGATGACACGTGTTTTTAAAAAGAAATATATTTTATTGATATTTTACAGAGAGGAAGAGAGAGGGATGGAGAGAGAGAAAACCATCGATCAGCTGCCTCTTGCACACCCTCTCTGGGGATGTGCCCGCAACCAAGCTCTGGGACCGGACTCGAACCCGGGACCTTTCAGTCCGCAGGCTGAGGCTCTCTCCGCTGAGCCACACCGGTTTCGGCTCGATGGCACGTGTTTGAAGGCGACACGTGGGCCCCTTAGCGAGGAGGCAGCGCCCCCCGCACCGCAGCCTCGCTCGGGCACCTGGAGGAGCAGGAGGGTTGTTTGGGTGGGTTCTGTGCGGCCCCGGCCGGCGCCTGCGCAGGGACAGCCGCTGGGGGACTGCGGGAGGGCGAGTCCTCCGTCCTCACTGGCCCCACGGGGCGGGGAGGTGACGCGTAGAAGTTCAGTCTCCAGGCCCCCGGCCTCCGTGGGGCGAGGGTGAGGGGGTGGAGCGGGGGGGAGCGGAGAACCGGAGCGTCCTCCCAGGTGAGGGTCCGACTGCTTCTCGGGAGAGGGCCTCTCGGCTGCCCGTGGAGCAGGGGTAGGTGGCGAGGGGACGTGGCTGGGGGAGCAGCCCCCCGAGTGCGAGGGCATGTGGGGGGTCAGTGGCTCGGGGGTGTGGCCACGGTGGCGGCTCAGGGACCCCGGGCCGCCATGGATTCCGGCCGGAAGCAGTTTGACGGCCTCCCAGGCGCATGTCCTCATGGTGCCATCGCTGTGTTCCAGGATGAAGCAGGAGTCGTCCTCCAGCGACGAGGAGCACGCAGCCCCCCGGCCGTCCAGCGCCCCCCTGATGCCCCTCCTGTCCAACGTCGGCTACAAGAAGACCCTGCGGCTCACGTCGGAGCAGCTGGTGAGCGGCTGGGTCCTCCCTGGGCCGTGTGTGGGTGTGGGCTGTGCGTGGCCCTGGCCTGTGCATGGACCTGGCCTGTGCGTGGCCCTGGGCTGTGCGTGGGCCTGGCCTATGCATAGGCGTGGCCTTTGCGTGGCCCTGGCCTGTGTGTGGGCATGGCCTGTGCATAGGCATGGCCTTTGCGTGGCCCTGACCTGTGCGTGAGCCTGGGCTGTGCGTGGGCCTGGGCTGTGTGTAGGCCTGGCCTGTGCGGGGTGTGTGGCCTGTGCATAGGCGTGGCCTTTGTGTGGCCTTGGCTTGTGCGTGGCCCTGGCCCGTGCGTGGGCCTGGCCTGCTGGCGGGCCGGCCGAGGTACGGCCACCCAGACTCTTGTGCGATGGTCTGGGCGTCCCCAGCACCTCGGCATCCCAGAGCTCCCGCTCCTCCTGGGGTCCTGTGTCTGTACCCCCACGCGCACGGTCCAGGCCGGCTCCTCCGTGCCGCCTCCCTCGCCTGCTCTGACGCAGCCCGGAGGCTCCTGTTCCATGTGTGGGAGCAGGTGCAGCTCCTTCACCCTGAGGTGTGAGTGACGGACCGGCCAGGCCAGGGGCGTGTCCACTGGGAGAGACGTGCGCTCACCCCCCAGGCCCTGGAAGGACCCCCACCCCCTTGTCTTAGTGGGATGGGAGCGAGAACTGCCCGGGGTGAGGGCAGAGCCGAAGGCCCTTTGTGCACACATGCCACCGCTCTCTCACCCCGTCTGCTGACTGGTGTGTGCACACACAGCACGGAACAGCACGCCGGTGAGCAGCGGCTCGCTCCCCCTGAGAGACGGCGTGGAGGGAGGGCCGGAGAGCATCTGCTGAGCCAAATCAGCCAGGCAGAGACAAGGATCACACGCCCTCCCTCACATGGAATGTAGTGGACAGAGTAAACTGAGGAACAAAACAGATCAGAGACGTGGACGCATGGGACAGACTGACCCACCTCAGAGGGAAAAGGGGGAGATTTCCCCCAGCTGCCGGCACCGCTTCCCTCTGGCACCCGGGGCCCCGTCTTCCCTCGCAGCCCCGGCTTTGTCTGGAAGGTCATGCAGAAGGACGTCCGGTCTAATGAGCATATTACACTTTTCTTATTGTAGATTTGCATAACCCGAGGAAGACAATGGTGCGGGGAGGCCAGGGGAGGGGCCGGAGGGGGTCAATGGGGGAAAAAAAGAGGGACATCGGTGACACTTTCAGCAACAAAGATAATAAAAACGTTCACCTCTTTTCTTTTTTTAAAATATATTTCATTGATTCTTTACAGAGAGGAAAGGAGAGGGATAGAGAGTTAGAAACACTGATGAGAGAGAAACATCGACCAGCTGCCTCCTGCACACCCCCCACTGGGGATGTGCCCGCAACCCAGGTGCATGCCCTTGACCGGAATCGAACCCGGGACCCTTCAGTCCGCAGGCCGACGCTCTATCCACTGAGCCACACCGGTTTGGCCGTTCACCTCTTTTCCAAAAACCCCCCCTGAAACTCCTAACCCTGCTTCTCATGAGCCCGGCCCGCCCGGCCTGCCCTCAGAGGACGCACGCCGTGTCTTTCAGAAAAGCCTGAAGCTGAAGAACGGCCCCAACGACGTGGTGTTCAGCGTGACCACGCAGTACCAGGGCACGTGCCGCTGCGAGGGCACCATCTACCTGTGGGACTGGGACGACAAGGTGGTCATCTCCGACATCGACGGCACCATCACCAGGTGGGGGCGCGGCCCTCCATCCGTCCGTCCGTCGTCCGTCCGTCCGTCCTCTCCCCGGGCGTCGGGGCCGTCCGGCCCGGCATCTGTGCGGGGGCTGCTCCCGTGCCCGCCGCCGCCGGCCGGGCCCCCGGGGAGGGGCGCCTCAGCGTGTTCCCGTGGACGCGGCCGGAGAGCCTCCTCGTGGCCTCGTCACGCTGATGGCGGCCCAGGACCCCGTCCTCGCTCCCACGGGAGGGCCCTGCGCCTATTAGCCCGGCCCGTCCCACGGGTGTCCGCTGGCATTGGTGTCTCTCTGTGCCTCCTGGGCCCCCGGCCAGGAAGTGTGGGTCCTGCTGGCATTCTCAGGGGGCGTCTCTGGTGCTGTGAACGGGCACTCGAGTTTTCTCCCTTTTGTGACGCCCTCTCTGTTTTTTTTTTTTTTTTTTAAATTTTATTAAGATATATTTTATTGATTTTTTTACAGAGAGCAAGGGAGAGGGATAGAGAGTTAGAAACATCCATCCGCTGCCTCCTGCACACCTCCTACTGGGGATGTGCCCAGAACCAAGGTACATACATACCCTCGACCGGAATCAAACCTGGGACCCCCCCTTGAGTCCGCAGGCTGACGCTCTATCCACTGAGCCACACCGGCCGGGGGCTCTCTCTGTCATTTCCCCCCGTTTCTCTCCTTGGGCAGGTCAGACACCCTGGGCCACATTTTGCCCCAGTTGGGGAAGGACTGGACCCACCAGGGCATTGCGAAGCTGTACCACAAAGTGAGCCAGTGAGTGCCCTCCGACCCCCGCCCCCCCGCCCCCCCCACGCGGAGCCCGGGTGCTGGCTGCGGGTGACCGGCCGCACGCCCCGTCTCTCTCTCTTCCAGGAACGGGTACAAGTTCCTGTACTGCTCGGCGCGGGCCATCGGCATGGCGGACATGACGCGGGGCTACCTGCACTGGGTCAACGAAAGGGGCACGGTGCTGCCCCAGGGGCCCCTGCTGCTGAGCCCCAGCAGCCTCTTCTCCGCCCTGCACAGGTGGGCCCTAACCCACCCTAACCCTAACCCTAACCAACTCTAACCCTAACCCGCTCATGTGGACACACTGTGTGCTAACCATAACCCAACCCTAACCCTAACCCTAACCCTAACCCAACCCTAACCCAAGCCTAACCCTAACCCTAACCCTAACCCTAACCCTAACCCTAACCCTAACCAACTCTAACCCTAACCCGCTCATGTGGACACACTGTGTACTAACCCTAACCCAACCCTAACCCTAACCCTAACCCTAACCCTAACCCTAACCCAACCCTAACCCAAGCCTAACCCTAACCCTAACCCTAACCCTAACCCAACACTAACCCAACCCTAACCGTAACCCTAACCCTAACCCAACCCTAACCCAACCCTAACCCTAACCCTACCCTAACCCAAGCCTAACCCTAACCCTAACCCCTAACCCCTAACCCCTAACCCCTAACCCCTAACCCTAACCCCTAACCCTAACCCTAACCCAACCCTAACCCCTAACCCTAACCCGCTCACGCAGACACACTGTGTGCTAACCCTAACCCCTAACCCTGACCCTAACCCTGACCCTAACCCTAACCCAACCCTAACCCTAACCCTAACCCTAACCTAACCCTAACCCTAACCCTAACCCTAACCCTAACCCTAACCCAAGCCTAACCCTAACCCTAACCCCTAACCCTAACCCCTAACCCCTAACCCTAACCCCTAACCCTAACCCTAACCCAACCCTAACACCTAACCCGCTCACGCAGACACACTGTGTGCTAACCCTAACCCCTAACCCTAACCCTGACCCTAACCCTGACCCTAACCCTAACCCAACCCTAACCCTAACCCTAACCCTAACCCTAACCCAACCCTAACCCTAACCCTAACCCTAACCCTAACCCTAATCCTAACCCTAACCCTAAACCCTAACCCTAACCCTAACCCTAACCCTAACCCTAACCTAACCCTAATCCTAACCTAACCCTAACCCTAACCCTAATCCTAACCCCTAATCCTAACCCAACCCTAACCCTAACCCCTAACCCTAACCCTAACCCGCTCACGCGGACACACTGTGTGCTAACCCTGACCCTGACCCTGACCCTGACCCTGTGTCTCCGCAGGGAGGTGATCGAGAAGAAGCCGGAGAAGTTTAAAGTCCAGTGCTTGACAGACATCAGAAACCTGTTCTTCCCGAACACGGAGCCGTTCTACGCCGCCTTCGGAAACCGGGCGGCGGTGAGTGGCGGCGGGGACTGGGCTCGGGGAGTCCTGCCCTCTGACAGCGGGCCTGGGGCGGGGGCCTGGGGCGGCGGGCGGCCACCCCCTCCGCCTCCGGCCGGGGCGGGAGACGCCCCAGCCCCCGGCCTCCGGCTCTCCGCCCGGGTAGGCGGGCCGGCGAGTGTCTGTGGGAGCCGTGACGCGTGGGCCTGGACACGTGAGGCTCAGACCCGCGTGCTGCGTTAGTCAAACAGGAACAGGGGCTGGGACGGCCGCTTCCTCCCACACGGGACCACGAGGCCAGCCCTCGCTCGGCCCAGTTTCCGGAGCGGAGCCGCCCGCTTCCCCACGGCTCCCCCTCCTCGCCGCGGCTTCAGTGGCCGCGATGGGCCGCGGGCCGGAAGCGCTCGGCGGGGAAGCCCAGGAGTAGCTCCCAAGTTTGAGCCCGCTAGCGGGTCTCACCGGTGGGGCTGACGTTAGACGGCTGAGAACCGCTGCCGTGGAGCCTCAGGCCGTCGCAAAACACAGATATTCACATTACGATGCATAACAGCACAGAATTATTATACAGTGATGAAGTGGCAGCGAAGATAACTGTGTGGTTGGGGGTCACCACGGCATGAGGAGCCGGATTAAAGGGTTGCGGCGTGAGGGAGGAAGGCTGAGAACCGCTGCTCTAGAGAGTTGAGTCGGGCGGTAACTTCCCAGTAAGAACATTCTCCTACTTGTAAGGAAGCGGGTCGGAATGTTAGGGTGCAGGGGGCTCGCTGGGCGGTCCTCTCTCACTCCCTTCCTGCATGGACCCTCCCGGCGCCTGTAGGGGGGAGCCAGTGCCAGAGTCACGCCCGCTCCTCCCCACGGGCAGGCTGTGAAGGGTTGGTTCCTGAGGCCGGGGCGGGGTATTGATCAAACCGGAGAGGCCCCGCGTCTGTCCTCACAGCACTCCTTCCCCGACCCTCTCCCCCGCAGGATGTGTATTCGTACAAGCAAGTAGGAGTGTCTCTGAACCGCATATTCACGGTCAACCCCAAGGGCGAGCTGGTGCAGGAGCACGCCAAGACCAACATCTCCTCGTGAGTCCCGTGGGCTGGGGTGGCCGCGGCTGTGGCCGGGGTGGCTTAGGAGGGGCCTCTTACCATCCGTGGTGTTCCTGCGGGTCCTTCGGCTGCCTGCATTTTTTTTTTTTTAATTTTTAAAAAAAATATATTTTATTGATTTTATACAGAGAGGAAGGGAGAGAGATAGAGAGTTAGAAACATCGATGAGAGAGAGTCATCGATCAGCTGCCTCTTGCACACCCCCTACTGGAGATATGCCCGCAACCAAGGCACATGCCCTTGACCGGAATCGAACCCGGGACCCTTCAGTCCCCAAGCCGACGCTCTATCCATTGAGCCAAACCGGTCTTGGCGACTGCCTGCATTTTAATCTTTAAAAAATATATATATTTCATTGATTTTTTACAGAGAGGAAGGGAGAGAGATAGAGAGCTAGAAACATCGATGAGAGAGAAACATCGACCAGCTGCCTCTTGCACACCCCCTACCGGGGATGTGCCCGCAACCCAGGTACATGCCCCTTGAGCGGAATCGAACCCGGGACCTTTCAGTCCGCAGACCGACGCTCTACCACTGAGCCAAACCGGCTTTGGCTGTATTTTAATCTTTAATCCCTACAAGAACAATGTGTGTCCACTCCTCGTGTTTTTGCGTGCTGCTTGGGCAGTCCGGATTCAGTCAGTCCCCCCGGGGTGGGGCATTGAAACCGGCGGGTCCGTCTGCTCCTGACGAGCCGTTTTGATTTGCCACGTTGGGTCGCAAAGCCTAGAAGGCGAATTCAAAGGGCAACCGACGGGCTATCACGGGACAGCGCATTCAAGGGCGCGGCGTTCCGGCCTTACGGAATCACCGCGGTGTGACCATCCAGGTTCCTCCCGGGGTCGCGGGCACGCCGGTTCCCGCAGGCAGAGGGCCGGGAGGGGCCTGGAACGGGGCAGCCTGGGGGGCTGCAGGCCCTCCCTGGACCCTGACAGCGCGTTCCGAGGCACCCGCGCCCCCCCCCCCCCCCCCCCCCCCCCCCCCCCGGCGAGCGGTGGCTGCTCCCGTGGGTACGGCTGCCTCTTCTGGCCACAGAACTCGCACGAGCTGGTCTCAGGGCTGGAGGAGTTGGAAGCATTGGCTTCGGTCCCCAGGAAAGACAGAGCGGAGACCTTTGCGTCATGGAGCTGCGTGCTCCCCAGAGGCCGGGGAGGGCCTGGCTTCACCAGGCCGCTTCCTCCGGGCGGGCGGGGGCTGGTTGGGAAAGCCCCTTCGGTTCTCAGCGGCGGATGAGGGACCGGGTGGCCAGAGGGGCTGGGGGTGTAGGGAGGCCCTGGCTGGTCACCGTGTCCGGCGGGAGGCGCCGGGGCCTGAAAACGTGTCAGCCAGCAGCTGGCTTCTCGCGGGTCCGGCCCCTAAACAAATGTGCTCCGGCCTCTCTCTGGGGAGTGCACAGAGCGAGCGCGGGGGCCGCAGGGAGCACGGAGAAGCAGGCACTGGGTCAAGTCCGTGCTCGGAAAGACGGGCCTGAGCCAGCTAGGGCGAGAGCCGGGCCCCGGCTCCAAGCAGGAAGGCGGGGGTGGGGGTGGGGTGGGGGAAGATCTGTTTCCCCAGGCCACGCCCTGGCACATGGCGGAGCTGACGGTCCACGCACAGAGGCCCCTCTCCCCCGTGACGCACAAGTGTGGCCCCGCAGGGCTGTGCCTCCCGGACTCCTCTGTCCTGCGGCTCTGCGTCCGGCTCCTTGGTGCGGGGCAGGCCCACCGCCTCCCCGGGGCCTGCTCCCCCCGAGGCCTCCTGGTGACCAGCGAGGTCCTTCCTGAGCGCCCTCCGCAGCCTCAGCCCCGGGCCCGGCCTCAGCTCCGGGGTCTCTCCCGGTTTCCGAGCGCGGCCGGGGGCGTCCCCCGCGGGCCGTGACCTTGCCCGTGACCTTGCCGTGTCCCTCCAGGTACGTGAGGTTGTGCGAGGTGGTGGACCACGTCTTCCCGCTGCTCAAGAGGAGCCACTCCTCGGACTTCCCCTGCTCGGACACGTTCAGCAACTTCACCTTCTGGAGGGAGCCGCCGCCCCCGTTTGAGAATCCGGACGTGCACTCCGCCTCGGCCTGAGCCCGCGGCCGCCGCGCCCGCCCGCCCAGATCCACCGAGACCCGGACCTGCCGAGACCCCGCGCCATTAAAGCCGGCTGGGAGCCCGGAGGGAGCTCGGGAGCCGCGTGCGTCATTGGCCGGGCGCACAGTTAGGGTGCACCCCGCTCCCGGCTCGCGGGGCTGGCATTTCTCAGTCAAGTACCGGGGTGCACTCCCCGGGGGGGGGGGGGGCCTGGCTGGGGCTGAAAGCCAGAGACCCCGCGGCCCTGCCTGCCTGCGGGCGGCCTCTCCTGGGCTGCGTGTCCCCGTGAGCCCAGCAGAGCTGGCGCCTGGCCCGGCGGGGGACGGTGTCCACAGGACCAGGTGCTGCCACGTGGAGGGGCGCACGTCCCCATGGTGCCTCCCACCCATCTGCACCCGGTGGTGGTGGGCGGGGGAACGGCGGGGAGGCACATGCTGGGCAGTGTGACCCGTCCTGGGGTCTCTGAGGGGCTTGGCCCTGTGGGTGTTCCTTGCAGTATTCGCCGAGGTCTGATTCCAGGGGATAAGCTCGCCTGTCATACTTCGGTTACAGAACCGTCGCCACTGGCACCCCCCTCCCCCCGCCCCCTTCCTGTGGCTCAGGGCTGGACAGATCATGCCTTAATGCCCCTGGCCGGCGTGTCCCCTGGAATGCGCTTTGTCCAGCTCCCGGTACCCTGCCATGCCTTACGCTCGGACCCAGGGAGGGATTCGGGTCAGTGTCTCCCGTGAGGCCGGCCCGGGCCACGGCCTCGCCTCCGGCAGGCGAGCTGGGCGGGGGCTGGGCCGCGGCAGGGCCGGTTCCCACGGGAAGCTCCCCGGCGAAGCTGCTTGGTGTTAGGAAATCAGTTTCAGGAAGTTAAATTATATTCTCTGTAGATATTATTTATTACTTTACTCCGATGGGCCATAGCCTTTCTGGGATAACGGTCACTGACCTGTCAGAAGACACGCGTTAGACTCCCCGGAGCCTATTCCCTCCCTCACCGGCCTCTCACCTTCCCCCGCTTTCCCCTCGGTCCGGGCACGGCGCGGGGGTACGGAGCGCCCGGGGCCCTTTCTCTGAGCCCCCGGGGGGACGGACTCTCGTGTTCGGATAAACAGCTGACAGAGAGGACTATGTGAAGAGTTAAGAATTATTTTGGTAAAGAGTTTGCTTTATTTTTTGAAGTATTATTTTTCTAAGGAGCCTTTTCCTCCGGCGGTGGAAGTGCTTTGCTAGGCGGGTGCTGTGGTGAGAGCCCAGGAGGCCACACGTGGGACAGGCCGTGGACTCACTCTTTCTGTGAAAGAGACACAGAGGTCGCCTCGGTCCCTTCTGGGGACAGTGTCCACAGGCGCCAGGTGCTGCCGCGTGGAGAGGTAGTGGCAGGCGGCAGGCAGCGGTGGCGGCGGCTCTGGGACAAGGCTCCTGGGGCCCAGCTGGGGCCCCACAGAAAGGCCCCCATTTGCACAGAAGCACATGCGTGCACAGAACCCCGTGGGAGGCACAGACGTGACGGACTCCTCCGGGCGTGGGCACTGGCGACCTTCCGAAGCTGCGCTCCAGAGGGCGTTGGGGTGACCTGAGCTGCTGTGACCTGAGTCTCGTTCCTTCTCCCCCGGAGAGCGAGGCTGGGGAGAGGGGGCACCCCCTCAGGCATGTGATCCGGGTCCGTTCGGAGTAGGGCCCCCGCCCCCAGCGCCGTAACGGTCACACCTGCCGGGGCTTGGGAAAAAGGCTTGCACGTGGGGGACGCGCACGGGTGTGCACGTGGGTTGTCTGTTCACAGCCACAGCCCGGCACCCCGCGGGCGGGCATGTGCTGAGTGCCGCCTGGGCCGCATCCGGGTGCCTGCAGAGAGGACCCCCCGGGAGCCGACGCCCGGGGCTCCCCCTGCGTGCAGAATGCAGGAACGAGGGCCTGCAAAGACCCCCCTCTGCAAGGTGGGGTGTGGCTCCCGTGGCCCCCGTGCTGGGTAAGCACCTCCGTGCGGGCACGTGCTGGGAAATGATCCTCCCTGTGTTGTGCTGGATGCAGAGCTAGAAGCTTGTAATAAAAGACCCGTGAAAGGCTTCTGAGCGTCAGTGTGAACTTTGTTCTGTTTGTCTTTTGTTATTGATCTCAGGGAGGAGGGGAGAGGGAGAGAGAGAGAAACATCAGTGACGCGAGAGAGTCATGCATCCGCTGCCTCCTGCACGCCCCCTTTTGGGCATCGGCCTGCACCCCGGGCCTGTGCCCGGACCGGGGGTGGCGCTGTGACCTGGGTCATAGGTCGATGGTCCACCCCTGAGCCACGCGGGCCGGGCTTGTTTTTCACGATGGACCAATCCAAGCCCTGGCCTGGCTCACCCACATCACCTGAAAACCGCCGCCATTCCTGTGGATGGTGCCTGTCCCTGTGCCTGAGACCCCCGTGGCCTCCCTGTGCCAGCCCGGGGGCTTGTGGGACACACGGAGAGCCGTGTCCCTGTGTGCGTAAGAGCCGCCGGGCACCGGGCTGGGCTGCGTGTGCGGCCGGATCCAGCGTCCCCTCTGGCGTCTGGAATGGGCTGTGTGCACGGAGACACAGCCATCGCTCTCCTTCGGCGGCACAGCGCGGACTCCTACACGCTCCCGAGGGCAAGCTCTACCCCATAAGAGCCTGACCTGTCTGATGCCCACGCCCTCCCCGGGGCGCTGCAGGCAGCTCTCACCCGCAGGGAGACGTCCATGGGTGGAATTTTTCCAGGTCTCAGTTGCAAACGCCTGAATCAGTAACAGACTCCTTATCCTGGCTTTCGAAGTCCACACCCACCACCCACAGCCTCGCCATCCCTTTCTTTTTTAAAAAAACAACCCTATATTTTATTGATTTTTTTACAGAGAGGAAGGGAGAGGGGTAGAGAGCTAGAAACATGGATGAAAAAGAAACATTGATCAGCTGCCTCCTGCACACACCCTACTGGGGATGTGCCCGCAACCAAGGTACATGCCCTTGACTGGAATCTAACCTGGGACCCTTCAGTCCGCAGGTCAACGCTCTATCCACTGAGCCACACCTGTTAGGGCCTTGCTATTCCTTTTATCTGAAGCCAAGGAACACTGGCCAGTGACCATGGGCTTCGGTCCCTGCGGAAGGTCTTGCGTGAGCCGGGGTGCCCCCTGGGGGCGGGAGGAGAGGCAGCGGGAAGGGTAGGCGGGCGCCGTTACTAACGAGGAGACCCTGGCTTCTGGAACCTGCCTGTGCTCTTCTACCAGGAGTGCTGTCCCCGGGGTGCTCCAGTCCGCTGGGCACCAGGGCCACAGTCCGTCACCCCGTCCCAGCCGCCCTCTGCACAGTCTCCAGTCCAGAGGGACGACGTGAGAGCAGGCCTGTGGTTCCTGGGGCCCAGCCCCGGAGGACAGCCCTCAGGCCTGAAGGAAGAGAGCGTGGTTACAATGCCACCGGCGCCTCCTTCCCGCCTCGCCCCTGCTCCCGCTCCAGCTGCAGGCGAAGGAGGCAGGGTCACCCCCCTTACACGAGGGCTTGGTTCCCGGAAGGAAACCAGACAGAAGTTGGCCCTGGCCCCAGCCAGTGTGGCTCAGTGGACAGAGCGTCAGCCTGCGGACCAAAGGGGGTCCCCGGGTTCGATTTCGGTCAAGGGAGTGGACCTGGGTTGCAGGCTCCTCCAGGGCCGAGGCCCTGGTCAGGGGTCGTGCAGGAGGCAGCCCATCGATGTGTTTCTCTCTGCCTTTCCCTCTCTCTCCCACTCTCCCTACAAATCTAAGGGAAAATGTCCTCGGGGGAGGATGAACAGCAAAAAGTTGCCCCGGAAGCCAAAACCGGTGTGGCTCAGTGGATAGAGCGTCGGCCTGCGGACTGGAAGGTCCCGGGTTTGATTCTGGTCAAGGGCATGTTCCTTGGTGGCGGGCACATCCCCCAGTAGGGGGTGTGCAGGAAGCAGCTGGTGATGTTTCTCTCTCATCAACGTTTCTAGCTCTCTATCCCTCTCCCTTCCTCTCTGTAAAAAAATCAATTAAAAAAGAAAAAAAAAAAGTTGGCCCTGAAAGTCAGTGGCTACACGTGGCCACCTGGGGGCGCACAACCTTTAGTTTGGAGGCAGAGCCTCTGAGCACGGGATCCAGGCTTGATAGAGGCTCCTCCTGAGCGGGCCTGGACGCCAGCCAGGTGAGTGGTGGGCCCCTGCGGGGGAGGAGAGGAGGCCTGGGTACCAAAGGGCCTCGGGCTGGCTCCGCTGGCCAGGAGGAGGGGGCGCTGGTGGCCGTTGGACATTCAGGCCTAAGGTGGGTGGTTCTCAGAGCGTGGTCTGGGGGCCTGCGGGGCTTGCATCCGGCGGCTCGTTAGCAATGCACGTTCCTGGGCCCCAAGCCACGTGTAACCTTCAGCATCCACCTGGGTGTGGGGCCCCCGGTGTGAGTGCAATCCTCCCAGGTCCCCGGGCTCAGGTTCCAGAAGGCACACCGAGGCCCGGGTCCCAGTTCCAAGAGCTGCGTGGCCCGGGGCAGCTGGCATCTGACTCCGGCCTGGCCAGGGCGACAGACAGAATCTGCCAAAGGAGGGAGGCCCCCGGAAACCCACGCAGGGGCTCCCCCCAGGTGTGCTGAGCCCCTGGTGCCCAGCGGCTGGCCCCAGCCACCTTCCTGGGCATCTGGGCGGTGGAGGGAATGTGCCTGTGACAGGCCGGCCGGGCGGGGCCTCCGAGTGCTCAGAGCCGGGAGCACCGGGCTGGGCCCAGCGCTCGGACGGCTCTCCCTCCCCCTCACGGTCTGGGCCTCAGCCGTGCTGTGGCCGGGGGTCCCTGGCTGGGCAGGAAGTCCACTCGGCCCGCATTGCCGTTAATGAGTTCTGCAGGCCAGCGGCCCCTTCCGGTGACTCATGCTGCCTTCGGTGCTCCGGAGGCTGCGGCTTTGGGTTTCAGTGGGGAGTGACCGCACCGCTCCAGCCGCTTTCCCTGCCGCCGGCATCCCAGCCGGTCACAGCCATTGCGCAACCGAGAGATGTGCACGCTGGCGGCCGGGCCTGCCCTGCCCTGATG